CACGGTTTGGGTTTTGTTTCTTGTTCCTGGTTCTTGTCTGTCATGTGATCCCCTGTTCTAGTCATGTGATCTTGCCTTGTGTTCCCCTGTCTGTTGTGTCATGTTGCCATTGGTTGATTGTTTAATGTTCACAGGTGTCCCTTGTCTTGTCGTTAGTCAAGTGGGGAACACTTTACTTTTAGGGGTATGCATTAGACTGACATAACACCTTCATAACCATGACATGACATATGTCTTGAATATCAAGGTTTATGCATGTTTATGACAACTGTCATTAAGTGTCTTTCGCTCAATAATGACATTTTGAATGCAAATATGACATTGTTTGAGATGTCTTTGTTATGACATCTTGACATAAACTATAACATCATAACCTGTCAGTGTCTTTGTCATGACAACTTGACATAAAATGAAGTTAAACTGTCATGTGGTTGGTTTTGACATTGGCTGTCATGTGGCCATTATAACTGTGTCTGAATATTTTTCGTGACCTCAACTACAGTGGTACTAATTTAATTTGTCATTAAAAAGTTATAATGGTCTCATGACAGCCAATGTCAAAACCAACCACCTGATAGTTTAATGTAATGTTAACCAATAACACTAGGTGGTTTCTTAAGTTTGATAATTAATCAGCAATGTCATGTTTATGACAGGTTGTGTTGTCTTAGTAATGTCAAGTTGTCATGACAAAGACACTGACAGATTATGATTTATTAGTTTATGTCAAGTTGTCATGACAAAGACATCTAAAACAATGTCATATTTGCATTAAAAATGTCATAACTGAGCGAATGACACTTAGTGACAGTTGCCACAAACATGCATAAAACTTCCTTCATATTCATAACATATGTCATGTCATGATTATGAAGGTGTCATGTTAGTCGCATGCACCCCTTCAAGTAAAGTGTTACCGTCAAGGATGTATTTAAGCCCTGCATGTGTCTAGGTCAGTCTTTGTGAGTTCTTAATGTTGTGTGTATAAACAAAAATACACAAATAGGCTGCTTAATACATTTAGACACTTATTTATGTCTAGATTGTTATAATAAAGCTAAATAAGCTGGCTAAACAACACAGTAAATGCAATTTAAAAATAGAATTTATACATGCATTTACTGCATACACACCTTGATGTTTTTGACTTTTTAATGTTTAGTTAATGTAATTGTTTAGTGAATGTTGGGTTGAAGGCCAACATGAATAATGCAATGCCACAGTTTGGTCTGTTGGTTATAAAAATTTAAGCATATAGATGCTGTACGTTTTGTTGCCAGTTTATTTAATGGATTCACTTCTGTCAATGTAAAAACCTTGCTTTTTCACCCATTAGTTTATAACATAGGTGTAATATAAAATATTCATTAGCCTCTATTTCTGGCTTATTCTGGTCAGCCTTGAGTTTGTGCTAGTGTCAATCTTTTTTCTTTTCTTTTCTTGTTTAGTTTAGTTAGATAGTCTAATTTGGGATACGTTTTGTTTCAGAGTCTTGGCTTATTATTGATCCTGACTTTATTGAGACCAAATTGCTAACTTCTGGATTGTTCAAAATGTAACCTCATTAACATTGGCATTTTCAAAAGAGGTACTAGTCCCTCTTTGATAGTAATATTATAGTTGAGTGGATATACTAAATTAATTAGCACAATCCTGTGGAATTTATGCAACAGAGCATCTGGAAGTGTTCCCTTTATTGAATAATTGATTGGATGTTATTTGAAAGAGTAGCTGGTTGATATTATCTTACTAATTCATTTTATTGTCATTCTCATTGATTTCCCCCCAAAAAATGACAGTTGAAATTTCACTAGAAAGTGCTTTATATCTCTGATGGGTAAGAAGTGAAGCTAAATGAATGATGTGTGGTAAAAAGTATTTAGGAAAAAGCTCAGATTTTGCCTATGGGTGTTAGTGATGATTGCCATTGGAGCTAGTGATGAATATTTCAGTAGCTTTGGTTTTGGGACTTCAGCATATACCACTATATTCTTTGAGACAAAGTTGCAAGTATGCCTCCCATTCTAGTTAGAAGAGAGTTAAATTTGAGAAGGATCTGATGACAGCAAAAGGAGTTTGTAAATGTGATTTTGAGAGAAGACCACATATCAATGGAGTAGCAACTTGGAGTGACCTCAGCCTTATGTGTTATATTGATGTCCTAGTATTAAGGACCATTTCTGTGCTGAAACATCCACCCACAGCTCCAGCTCCAGAGAAAGATGCACACTGCAGAATCTGCGGCCTCCATTGGCTTTCCTTGGCCGTTAACCTGAATGATCACAAGAAATGCGACAATTTGAGGGAACCGTGAGTGAGTCTGAGTTTGATTCCTGGTCTGTTATAGTAGGCGACGTCTGACAACTGAATGATATACTGCATCTGCATGGGGTTAAAGTGTGTAACCACTGGACATTTCATTGTCCCATAAGGTAATGGGAGAGGAAAAGACAAAAATTGTGAGCTGGGTGTCTCCTTTGAAATGTGAGTGATATATATAAATTGTCATGGTTAAATTGTATTCATTAACTGATTTGACATTTGTTTTTATAGTCCAGGAACACAGCAATACTTTTAATACTTGTAGGCTACTCAACCAAGATGCATTAGATTGATCAAAATGTTATGATGAATACAATGTTACAAAAAATATATTTAAAATGAATGCTGTTCCTTTGAACTTTCTATTCATCAAATAATCCTCAAAATGTATCACAATTCCCACAAAATATTTAGCAGCACAACTCTTTTGAACATTGATAATCTAAAAAAAATATTTTTTGAGTAATGTGACTGTGAAAACTTGAGCAATGACTGATTAAAAAATGCAGCTTTGATCACAGGAGTCAATTACATTTTAAAATATTTTAAATAGTTATTTTAAATCACAATAATTTTTCACATTGTTAGTGTTCTTACTGTATTTTTGTAAAGAAATGCTGCCAAAAACATTTAATAAAAAATGCAAATCTTTGAACAGTAATGTCCAGTATTTATACGACACGTACCTTCCATAAATGGTCGTGCATGTCTACGACTTGCACTCAAGTCACACTAAGTTCACTAAAAAGAGTTGTGTAACTTGTGCAAGTCACATGTGCGTAAAGCATCCTCTTAGTGGTCAGATTTCACCTGTTTACATTCCTCTGATGGATAGACATTTTTCACTCTATCCATTCATGTATATAAATTCAGTTAGAGCGGGAATTAAAGCTTTGTCAGGACAGCGTCAACGTCCTCTCTTGTATTTTTGTCTCGTTCCTGTGTCTGTGACTGGCGCCAGTGTGATTCATTAGGGGGGTTGGTGAGTGTTGAGCGATTCCCTCAAGGATCTCAAACCAGGCTGAGCCGTGTGAATTGTGTCAAACAGTGTTTTTTTCTCCTTAGTGCTGATGATGGTTATTGCAGAGGAGTCACAGGGTGGTGGTGCAGGTGAGGTGTGCGGGGCCAGTCTTGGCATGTGTTGAGACATCAGTACATCCTTTACTTCCTCCCCTACATGGCCAGCCTGTGAGCTAGCACTTGCAAGCTGCTGATGTGAGCCCCCCCATCTGAACTGCCGCGGGGGAGCTTTCAACAGCTGGCCATGTGTGAAATCAAGAGGCTTTCCTATCCGGTTTCATCCAGCGATTACGCCAGGAGAGAGTGAAAGGGAGAAATTAGCCGCAGGTCTCGACTTCAGGCTGTCGTCTGTTGCTGCGTAAACTTTCTTGCCTTTGGCTTCTTACTCTTAGTGTTGATTGGAAAAAAACCTGTCAACATTGTAATTGCTCACAGCAAGATTTGGATAGCCAATAAGTGATTTCTAGTTTATACCAATTAAACCTGAAGAAAGCTGCAGTTTCACTGTTGCTCATGTGCAAATTACAGTACATCATCTCGAATAGATATTTTATTTTTGCTTCACATGGTTAATGGGGTTTGAAAGTGACTTTGGAATTTATTTATCAATATTATGCTGAAAAATAATGCTGTGAATAAGGTATTTAATGTTTAAGATAATTCAGTGGCAGGGTATAGAATTTTGTTCTAACTGCATATAATAATTGCCATGGAAAATTTGAATGAGAATTTAGCTTATGTGAAAAATTGGAATATCGCATTAAAATATTTTGCGAACAAAGCAGCATTTCCATCCCATTTGTTCAAGAGCACAAAATCGTCACTTCCTGAGAAACTGGCACAAAATATTTGTAACAAAAATGGAAGTTCCTGCAATCGGGGAAGCCACTTTGGATTTTTTTTTTTTTATAGACGAAACATGATAAATGACAGACTTAGGCATTTCAGAATGACCAAACCAACATTTGATATGGTGTGATCTTATTGGTTCACATTGGTTTCTCGAGTTATCCAATCACTCCATCTGTTGAGGCAAAGTAACGTGAGTTTGTTGTTGCACATAGAGGGCTTTATTCGGTAAATGTGTTTCCATTGTAGTTTATGCGTGTATCTTCTTATTGGATGAAAAATGAAAATCAGTGTTTCACCATTTGTGGATCTGTTCGACAAAAAGGAAAAAAAGAGAAAACATTTAGAAAAATTTAACTAACTTTATAGGTATGCAAGATAGTCAAGATAGCAAAATCAATTGATTTTAAAAGGGAGGAGAAACACTTCCTTTTGTCAAACTTTTTGATAAATTCATATGGCAACATAGAGTGGTTAAAATTTCCAAAACAATAATTGACAAAATATTACAACAAAGCTTGCTCAAATTATTAGCACATCCACTACTGCAGCATTGGCACAGCTATAGGGAAGCTACTCCGACATAGTATTAGCATACCAGTAATTAATGTTTGGTTAAACAGTAATTTACTGCTGCAATAGAGATGATCTAAATATAACAAGACAGTTCAACTACATGATGCTTTGGTTTAAAGCTATTTCTGCATTTGGATTTAGGCTGATGGGGATCGAAGCTTGTTCTCACCCAACAGTTAAATCATAAACGCACAGTGATGTAACTCCCCTCTCTTTTTTTTTTTTTTTTGTAGGCGATTTTTGTGAATTGAAATCCAGGAGGGTTCAGCGGCGCGGAGAGGTGACGTTGACCGGATGCGTGTAGCGGAGCGTGCCGTGTGGCTTTGACCATGAGCCGGCTGATGTTGGGCCGGACCCTGGAGCGGATCTGCAAGGCTGTGCTGTTGCTCTGCCTGGTGCACTTTATCATCATGATGATCCTCTACTTCGATGTCTACAGCCAGCGTTTCGACATCTTCAGCCGCTTTAACAATGGCCGTGGAGTGAACAGCTCACGAGGACCCCACCACTACTACTATAACTTCACCAGTGGAAGGCCCAACACTACCTTTGCAAGTTACCTGGCCACAGCTGACCATCTTCTGCCCAGCACCAATCCAGAGGCAAACCACACTCCACCAACCCCTAAGCCATTACCACCATGTCCGGAGGTGCCTCCTGGTCTGGGTAAGTTCTTATAGGTACTTACTTGGCACATATAGAAAAGTATGAGCGCTAGGGCTGTAAGTGACATTGTGACATTGCATAGAGCTGGCGCCATTATTAAACTTATGGTCAACTACACGATACAACTGAAAATTTGCCTTGTCTTTTTCACCCCAAAAAAGGCATGAGGGTTTAATTGGACCACCTACCTTTGCTGTATGAAGTAAAGAAAAAAGTGAAGAAATCATGACAAAATATAATAATAAAAAGTAACAGAATTGGAATATCTGAGTGTAATAATAATTGCAATTATATATATATATATATATATATATAACAAAAATATTATGCTGTCATTTTTTGACTTACAATGCATTGAACAATATTGCTGTTCAATACCAGAAATTGGAATAGTAAGTTAATTTACTTTTGACCATGGTCAAAGTTTTATCTTATCAACCGAAACTCTGGTTTTTGATTATTAATTCATAAGCGTGAGAATAATAAGAAAAATATTATTATTAATAATAATAATAATCGCAATAATTAATATTTATAATGATTATTATTAAGATGATTATTATTAAGTCGAAGACATAAATATATTATCATTGTTATACACTGTACGCTGTAAAATAAATACTTCAGTAATTCCTCATTTTAATTTATTAAAATGTTTTCTCTTTCAATAGTTAAACCCTTGAGCTTTAATTTTAAAAGAAACTGCAACTACACACTGAGGTGGATGCTGCGGTGGGTTATAATTGTTGGCCAGGAGACTCTTTGTCTTCTGTGACAGGATGCTCTTGGCAAGGAACTAGATCAGGCCTCTATGTTGCAACTTCGTAAAAGTAAGAACAAAATCCCTTACATTGCAACAGTGATCAAACAGTCAGTTGTGCGAGAGAAAAGAATAGTATGAATAATACGAGAGACAGTAATGCATGGAAGGCGCTCAAGCCTCAAAACTCTCAATTAGGTGCCTGAATAGTTGAAAGCAGACGATGACTGGTTTGATATAAAGGACATGTGGGCAGGACCCTCAGTCACTGTTCCCCATCTCAGAGCCATAATGGATTCTCTGCAGACTCCAATTACTGTAAAAGCCATCATCTCGCTCTGTTTTCAGAGCTGACTGGAGAGTTAAAATGGATTTAACATCAGCATGCTCTTCACCGCACTTATATTTCATCCGCCGAACCGCTTTATTACCGGTGTCTTACGCAGTGCGTGACGTGTTCAGAGACGTGTTCAGAGAAAATGAGCCGAAGACTAACAGGACTGTACCAATTTACTTTCTTATACTACTGTCAGTCTGTTCCTGTTCACCGTAGAATAAAATATAGGGTGAAAAAAGGACAGAACTGCTTAATGGGATGTCTTCCTAGGTGATTATTGTGCAACAGGAAGTCAAATCTCTGCTGTACATTATAAGGCAAAATACCTCTTCCAGGGTAGTATAATCCATCTGCATATAGAAAAAAAATCGAATTAATTACGATGTCATTGCACTGCATTTTCTAGCTCTTAATAGGGCAAACCTTCAAAATGAATGTGCAGCAGCTATTTGATATGCCTGCAAGCAGCGGGCCTTTGCCACCCATATCCTTCTAATGAGTTTAAAGCAGAGCTCTGGAGGGAGTTGGGAGCTGTGTCATATGAATCGTTTGCTCTCCAGCCTGCTCAGGGGTCTCTCTCTTCCTCCGTCTTCATACTTTTCTATTTCTACCCTCTTGAGTAATGGCAGAAACCCAAGATGGCCATATCAAAACTTGTTACTTTCACACTCATGGCCCAAAATGCTAAGAGAATTTGATAGATGTCTTTAGGGGCTCTTCATGAAATCAGATTTTGCCTCATCTGTAAGGCAGAGTGGAATCTGTCGTTCCCTGGAATTTTGACAGGAAGTGTTCAAATGAAAATGCTTTTCCCAGCTTTTTTGTGTCCCCCTTCCTGTCTTCTAGCTGCAGGAAGTACAAAGAACCCTGTGTCGACCACTGTTTTCAAAGAAATCCAGTGTTTCCAGCTGTTAGAGTGTGAAACATGCCGTTTGTGAGACCATCCCAGCCTGTCGAGTTCAAAGCCACATTTCAGCTTGTCATTGGCAGTAACCGTAATGCGTATTTGATGTTTGCTGTCAAGCCAAAACAAGTGTGTCTGCAGTAAACACTTGCACTTTGGCGATTAGAAAACTGTAAACATTTTGAAAAATCATCTTGATTGAGATGCCATTGAGTCGCTATTAGCCCAAAGAGATTTCCCGAATGAACATTGATTGCATTTGGCGCACCCTTTCCATCATTCGGTTTACAAGAACTGACCCGTTGATGTTGGTTTAGAGAGACTCTGTTGTAATTGAGGCGTGTAAGAAGCAGACGTTTTTAGCAAGATTTCCATGCCGGTCCCAGGTGCGTGTAGAACATGTATCTTATTGCAGCAGAGGCCTGTGGGGATAACCCAGTGTCTGTGGTAGATTGCTTCCCATCTGGCAGGTGTGGCTTGTGGATGATGATGACTCACTGGTGCCGTATTCCTGGAGGGAAGCTGTGTCACACTGTCAGCCACCACACAAGCGGTAGGAGGCCTTCCGTGTTATAATCACTCAGAAGCAATTAATGCATTAGAAATAGCCAACAACCTGGTGTCACAAACAGAATGTGTTTATATCAGAGCTTACGATTTTTTACAATATTATTGATGACTGATCGCTTAGATACAGTGGGGTTCAAATGTGAACACATACTGTAGAAAATCTGTAATTCAGAATATTTTCTTTGGAATATCCTATTCAAATTTATGTGACAAACAAGTTAAGGATAAAAGTAAGGTCAAAAGTAATCAAAAAGTAATCGGATTATATTACCTAAAAATGTGTACAGTTTATGTCATGTAATTTTTATTTCAGTAATGGACCACAATTTTTAAGTACAGGAATCTACCCAGGCTGTATATGTAAGGAATAATTGATAAGGGGCCGTTGAATTATTAAAATTAAAAAAAATAATGCACACCTGAGGTGGTAATGCCGACGCAATGCAAAGCAGTTTATTTTTCAACAATTTCATTATTTTTCAATGCTTCAATGACCCAGAGTCAATCATCCTGCTTTATACTACAGTTACCACACCTCAAAACATTGTTCAGAATCAGATGATGTATTTCAAGACATTTGTCAGATTGTTTTTCCCTTAAAACACTCTTTTGCTTATTCCAAAACGATATATATATATATATATGTTTATTATCAGCCAGAATTGTAATATTGTGGCATCACTAAATTAAATGTTGTAACAATTAAGCACAAGATGCTGTCTGAATAATGCTCAGGAATACTGATTGACGTTATCAACATTTTTTTTATTAAATTAGAAAAATCCAAAATCTAAGCATTTTGACTAGTGCCCTCTGACCATTGGTTCCTCAATACGACAAGTGCACCAGCCAAAGTGAATAGTTCAGCTTCAGTAAAACTCATGAATAGTTCAGCTTCAGTAGTAACTCATTTAAGCGTCTCATAGAGCTGATGTGTTGGGATGCTGTAGCCTGCAGCATTCTGTCTGTGACCGTTCTCGAATAAAACTCGGCCGGCTGACCAGCTGGCCCAAATGTCTTTGACTCACAGGGAACTGACAACCGACTCCATGAGGAGGGAAAGACATTCCCTCGGGCCCACTGACATCCTTCTCTCCCTTGAGTTTCCATCAAGCAAGAGGGGAAAACTTATCGCAGAGATAGCACTTTAAGGGGCACTGCCAGCACTACAGCAAAACGATTTTGTGAGAGGTGAGATACAAACAAATGGGAGAGAAAGGCAAATATTAAAGGGATAGTTCACTCCAAAATTACAATTCTGTCAGTATTTACTCACCCTTTGTACTCTGTGCTGTTCCATACTCCAAATTCTTTTCATTTTGACTTTTATTTTTGGATGAACTATTCCTTTAAAATGGTGCTTTTTAATTGACATTTAAGAGGGTGTTTTGTTTGCACTTAAACCATCGTTTTTCTCGATGAATTGTATATTGCTACTTAAAAAGTACTAAAACTTATTAAAATTGAAGTCAGATAATTTTGTAGTGTAGATGTGATAATTGCCAGTATTCATGGACAGTATAATAGGCACACAGCATCTTGTACACATGACTTTAAAGGGGTCATTTAATGGTACATGCACTTTTACAAGTTGATTGTACTGAAATGTGTGTTGGCAGTACCTGCATCATACAATGATAAAAATCCATCCAGTGTTTTTGTTTTAATCTTAATATGTTTTCCCCTGCCTCAAATTGAGCCTTTAGTTTTTGTGATGTCAATAAAACGGACACCCCTCCCACGATTGTTGATTGACAGCAGCGTTTTAACACAGACGAACACAGGGATTTTGATGTTCCTAAATCTGAACCGCTGAAGACTCAGTGGCTGAGTTTTGTTTTCGCCATTACTGAATATTCCCTACGATTAACGTCAATGTGTTCATGTTTGTGCGAATCATCTTGTTCCGGGTCCGACTTCGGTTCAAACTTGTCCGAGACTCCCGCTGCCATTCTTTCTCCAAAATAAACCCTCAACTGTTGTCAAGGAAACACTCCACGTGCGTTGTATCAAAACGCCAGCAGAAGAGAAGGGTGGAGCGAGCGAAGCTCATCATTTAAAGGCATATGCACTGAAACGGCATGATGAAAACTGAGCTGTTTTTGACGAGGTAAAATTAGTGTTTTCTTAAAATACTAAGGATAATTTTTAATAATATTATATATTATTTTAATAATATTATATTATTAATTTTTAATAATATTATATTATATAATAATATTATAAATTAATATTATTATATTATAATTTAATAATATTATATAAACTTATATAAGTTTTCATTTAAACCCTAAACATTCATATTAACTTGTAAAAAAACCTTTAAGCACGGTTTCTCTTCTTCTATCAGTTGAGACACTAGCTTTCTAATTGGGTTGTCAGGCTGCTACAATGTGTTAATAGTACTGTAAGACCAGAGATCTGTATGT